CTCAGCACGAGTCCCTCCTCCCGGGTCCTCTCTGTACATTGTGAGACCCCCGAAACAACCTGGTGTCCAAGGAGGTCAGGGAAGAGTGGGCGTGGTCCTGGGGAGGGAGAACGAGGCCACTCAGGCCTGGTCAGCCTCTGGGCTGCTCAGAGGCGGGAGGCCACCCGCATCTCACTGTACGGGACTTGCTTCCGAGAAGGCTTGCCCTCAAACACTCCGGAGGCATCTGGAGACAGCTCTGCAGCATAGGCAGAAACACAGCCCCACTCCCACCCACAGGAGCTGAGATCTGGGCACGGGGCTTCAGAACGCAGGCCAAGCAGCTAATGGGGCTGCTGGAGGCTGTGAAACCTGGTGTCAGCCAGAGCGCTGAGCTGGCAGGCTCCAGACCAAACTGGAGAACGACAGAGACAGCCCAGGAGAAGGAGGCTGGTGGAGGACCAACTGCCCTCCCCTCCACCCACCCTGGGCCTCTCCTCCTCCCCACGCAGGACCAAAGCTCAGGCATCCAACTCCAGGCAACCCAGAACACTCCTTCCTAGGTGTGATGGGCTGAATCCCCTCCACCCAGAAAAACTCATATATTGAAGTCCTAACCTCAGAATGTGACTATATTTGAAGACAGGTACTTTAAAGAGGTAAGAAAATTTTAAAAAGATATGGGTGGGCCCTAATCCAATCTAACTCGTGTCCTTATAAGAGGAGATCAGGACCCAGGCGCTCCATGGTGAGACACAGGGAGAAGACGGCTGACTAAACCCAGGAGAGAGGCCTCAGGAGGAACCAGCCTTTCCACAGCCTGGCCTCAGGCTTCTGGCCTCCAGAGCCATCAGAAAACTAAAGTCCACCGTCTAAGCCCCTCACTCCGTGTTGCTTTGTGGTGGCAGCCTGACCTAAGACCCCAGGCCATCGGGCTCACCAGAGGGCCCTGCTCCCACACTGAGGGGTCCCTGAGATAGCAGGCAACCCCCTGCCTCCCAGCCACCTGTCCCGAGGCCTGGAAACGTCTGTGCTCCGAAAGTTCTGGACAATGAGCTTCCATTGACTCTTCCCCCTCCTTCTAGCTTAAATGCAGGTGAGTCACCACGGTCCCCAAGAACCCATGGTCACCCCAGCCTCAGTCCCCCATGGGGAAGCACACCCTCCCTTGCTTGCCCAGAGTGAAATGGGCCATGCTGGGTGGCCGCAAGCTCCCTGTCGCCTGAAGGTTTGAGAAGTTGGAGAGCCACCGGAGAGAGGGGTGTGACAGTGCCAGACAAGCCGAGTTCTAAAGCAGGTGGAAAGGGAGATGGAGTTGAAGCCCCGGATTCAAATATCAGCTCCACTTCTTACGTCATGACCCCCGGCAACACGGCCCATCCTGCCACACCCGTGTGGCTGTTGGCACAGCAGGAGCTGAGATCACGCCAAGGTGGGTTCCACACGTGGGGACTGCCTCCCAATTAGGCAGGTCCCTGCCCCTCCCGAGCCTCGGTTTCCCCACTGAGGCAGGATGGCATCGGATGGGCTCTCTGGCTGGCCTGGGCCACGCCAGCCTGGGAGGTCCGTCCACAGAGAACAGAAGGCCCCAGGCGGCGCTGTCTTCCCTCATGTTGCCGCTGAGATGAACCAGGGCTGTCCCGACGAGGGAGGAAGGCACTCCTCATCACCATGCCACCCACCTGCGTCCGGAATTGGGGGTGTGGAGGGTGGGGATGCAGGCAGTGAGGGAGGGGTGAAACAGAACCGTGGTGACCCTGAGGGTTAAGTCAAGGTCACCTGGAGGGCTGCCCAGAGAAACAGGAGCTCTGACCCCAGTGCTGGCCGCCCCGCACTCCAGGGAGGGGACAAGGTAAGGTCCAGGCCAGCGAAGATTTCATTCCACAGCACCTGGCTCAGTGCCCCCGCCCTCCCCTGAGGCACCCAGTGGACTCCAGAGGTCCCGGCCTGGCCTGGCCTCTCCTGTCCACGCCCCCCGCTGGCCTGAAATAGCAGGGGCAGGCTGCTTCCACAAATGGCCTCATCTCACCTTGGACACATTCCCCTCACCTATTTTGAGAGGCCAGCCCCTCCCTCGCCAGAGGCATTCCTGAGCGAGCAGCCCCTCACCTCCTGGGCGGTGGGGAGAGACAGGAAGGGATGCGTCTCAGCTGTCCGCTGCTCCGGAGACCTGGGAGCACCTGCCCTTGGGCCAGCCCGGCAGCCTCCAGGATCCTACACTGCACATGCCACCACCTCTAAGCCCTCCCTCACTGTGAGAGGCAGGACCAGGGAGATCTGGTCCACCCAGGGGTGAGAAGTGGGGGGGGGGGGGGGGGGGGGGGGGGGAGAAGCAGGCAGACACTCACCCAAGCTCAGCAGGGACCCAGCTATGACCACAGGACCTGATACTCAGGACAGGCCCCTGGAGATGCCAGTCAACCCAGGACTACGCAATGGTTAGTGCTGGCTTTCACACTCAGATCCTCTCTTAACTAGCTAGGCCACCCTGGGTACTTAAGCCCTCTGTGCCCCAGTTGCCCCATCGAACCGTATAACAGTGCCCACTTCCCAGGTGCCTGTGTTAGAAGAGATGGTGGCTACCAAGTACTGGCACCACAGCTGGCATGTGGCAAAACCAGAGCTGGCTCCCAAGGCTAAGGAGCCTCTCCCTCAGCCCTGCCTGCAGACCCTTGAGATGCTGCCACAGCAACTCCTGAGGTGCCAGAGACTCACGAGAAAACACAGCAGGTAGCCCCTCCACTGACCCCCCAAAATGGTTCACTTACAGCAGAGGAAACTGAGGCCCCAAGAGGGTGGCACCTTGTCAAAGGATTGGAACCCAGATCAGTGGTTTAACTCCGGAGGCCACTTCTTAACCCCTCTCCCAACCTGCCTCTCCTGGAAATTGCTATGGTAACCCAACCACATGGATACCATTACGGCCCCAAGTGTGTAGGTGAGGACACTAGGACCACGGGAAGGCTAAGGAATCGGGTCCAGGACATGCAGCGCAGAGAAGGGTGCTGGGATCGGACCCGGGCAGGCGGCCTGGAAAGCACACCTGCTCACCCACCGCACTGCGGTGCCCGGGGCAGCCGGCCGCTCCTGTTCCAGCCGTCCCAGAGAGCAGGCAGAGCCCCCTGAGGAGCTTCATCACCCCAGGAACGGCCAGGCCCCCTCCCACGCTCCAGCTTGCACATCTCCTGAGCACCCCAGAATCTTGGGATTAAGGGTTTGCAGGAGAGAAGAAGGCAGGCGAGGGGGCCGGGAGGAGTTCAGGGCCTCCCCTCAGCCTCTCCCTCCTCTCCCCTGCCTTCCCTCACAGCCCAGGGTCCCAAGCCCTGACCTTCCCCAGTCGCTCTTTCTCCCCCTTATTTTACCTTTTATTTGCCTGGCACGTTAGAGTTTACCAAATGTGTTTACATTTATCATCATGTTGAATCCACACCAGGGAGGGATAGGGAGGCATCGAAAATTCCTTCAAATTGCCAAGTGTTCTTGTTAAAAATGCAAACATCCCCAGAAGATGAGCAATTAGGCTGGCAGCCGCTGGTACCTCAGACTAATTTATTTCATCCTCTGCCTCGTCCTCAGCCACTTAGCACAAGTGGATGGGGCTGGGGTGGGGGCAGGGGAAGAAGCAGTGCTTTTGGGGGGCTGCCGGGGCAGGGTGGGGGAGGCCCTGGCGTGGTGTCCGCGCCCCTGCGGGGAGGAAGGGCGGGGAACGAGGGCAGGTCCGAGGACGAGCCTTCAGCTCTGCAGCGCTGCGCATAAACAACCTGCCCTCACCGAGCCCTGAATTCTAGCCCCGCCGCCGCCACCCTCCTCCCACATCGCTCCTGCTGGTGACTCGGAGATCAGGAGGAAAATCTTTGTGCAAGAAAAGGCTTAGAATCTTTCAGGGTGGAGTCCACAAATCCAGAACCTGGGAGAGGAGGAGGGGGGCCGGGGGCAGGTGCCTGGTTCTCCCTAACCCAGCTCTGCCCCGTGGCCCTAGACCCCCTGCCCAGGGCAGCCCCCCCAGAACCAGCTCCAGCCGGAAGGAGGGGCCCATAGCCTGGGTGCAGGTGAAAGGATCCATTACAGATCATGGGGTCCATCAGGAGGCCCTTCCTTCCAGGGGGTCCCCGTTACCCCGACATAAAACTGATGGGAGAGGGGGGCCTGAGGGTCCGCCCGGCTCCCACAGTCCACAGTCCTGGGACCATGTCAGGGAAGCAAGCCCGTGGCCAGACCCCAGACAGGGCATCTCAGGAACGTCCGAGGACAGTCACTTGTGGAGGCCCGCCCTGCCTCGCATCACATACTCAAAGGAACCACATGAAAAAATATAACCCAGATATAGCTCTCCCGAGCTGAACGGAGCTCCGCTGACCATCTGACATAATGTCAGGTTTCGCAGCTGAACGAGTATTAATTTCAGTTCCGCTGCTTTCTTTGCAAATTGCGGGGCCTATCTGTTTGCCTCCGGCGCTCCCACGTTTTCGTTGGCCGCCGATGAAAGCCTGCAGGCCTGGGTGCTGTGTCTACACTCCCAGCGCCCTGACCCCAGAGCGCCCTGACCCCAGAGCGCCCTGACCCCAGAGCGCTCGGGCAGCGAGGCTGCAGGAACGCAGCAGTGGGACTTAAAAGAGATCTGACCAATGCTGTGTCGGCGTCACAGGGGTACCTCCAGGTCCACTCCAGGCCACCTCCTCGGAGGAGCCCTCCCAGGTCACTCCAGCTAACAAGAACACCGACCCCCGCCCCGATCTCAGAGCACGCACCATCCCTGGGCCTCATGTGGCACCAATGGCACACCCTCAAGGCGGCCGGTTAGCTTCATTTTCTTTCTTTTTTAGCTCTGTCTCCATTATTTCACACACTCATGTTTGCCTTATCTTCTCCCACTGAACCGTGAGCTCTCCGAGGTGCCTCGGACCTCTCCTCTGCCTCCCCGCGGAGCCCAGTACAGAGTCCCACCAAACCAGAGAGCCCAGGCCCTCTGCGCGGGGGCTGTGCAGGGCGGAGCCGGACAGGAGGCCCTCGGCCCCACCTACCCTCCATGCCGTCCTCGCGATGCCCGTTCAAGTGGTCGTAGGAATCCCAGCGGATGAGGGGGTCGGAGGTGTTGTAGTCCACAGACACGCTGGGCCCATTCTCCAGATGCTCCATGCCTAAGGGGACGGGGAAGGGCGGGAGGACAGTGAGGAGGAAGGAAAAAGATCGCAGCTGGAAAAACAGAGGGCGCCAATGAGATCCCCCAAGGACGCTCCCTGCGGGCCTTCTCCTGTTCCTGACCCGGGTGGGGTGGGAACCCAGGGGTCTGGTTTCTCGCATTCTTGAGAAGGCTCTTACCAGGTCACAGGGGTCAACCAGGACAGGGCACTAAGGAATGCAGGCCCCCTCCCTCAGGAGAAAGCTGGCGGACCCTCTGCTGAGTGCTGCTCTCTCCTGTGTCCTGGGAGCAGTGCAGACCAGCGCCTGCCCCTGAGGTTGGCGGGATGTGGGAGAAGCAGGGCTCACAGCCTTGACACTGAGAGGACACAAGGTCATCCAGGCCATCTTCCCGCTCCCAACGTAAGACGCTCCCCGCTCTAGGCAGAAAGCTGAGGGGAGAGACAGAACCCCTTCTGCACGTCCAGACAAAGCCCAGAGTGAAGACAGCACAAGCTGCCAGGCAGACATTCCTGAGCTAGCAGTCCTTTCTTTAATCTACCCAGAGTCCCCTTGTCTGTAACCTAACTTCATACCCTCCCGTTCTGTCCTCAGAGAAGATGGAGAACAACTGGTCTCCGCATATAACCAGCCTAAAGGCTTAGAGGCTATTATTAAATTGGTCTCCTCTTCAGGTTGGACCACCTCAGTTCTCAGAAATGCCTATCGTGTAGCCAGCACCTTGGAGTGTCCCCTCAGCCACACCCTCCACCCTCCATGGCCCTCTGTCTCTAAATATAATAGCATGATGTCCTAAGGGACTAGAACAGTTTATCCAACCCAGCGCCTCCCTGTCTGCTTTTTTATTTTTATTACCCAGAGATGAAGTCACTGGTTCGTGTTTAGCTGGGGGTCCACTATGATACCCAGATCTTTTACTGTTGGCCTGCTTTTCAATCACAGATAACTTGACAATTATAGATATCAGTGGGAGAATGGTGAAGGAGGGGTGGGAACAGGCCAGGACAGAGGGAAGGAAGTGAATGATGAATGGATTCTAATTTGACTTATACCTTGAATTTTCTCTGGCCCATAAGAAAATACAAATTCCACCTTGCCGTATTCTGGAAACCGATCATCTGAAAAAGGAGAAAGTAAAACAAGATGGGCAATCAATCTCTAAAAAGAACTCCATAAAAGGTTTTCTTCTAGAAAAGATTAAAATAATACACGTACACATTGGTAATATATTAAGATATAAATATATATTTATATGGAATATATATATAATTAAGTCTCTTGCCTTCCCTTGACCCAGTCCTACTTACCTGAGGTAATCATTTCTAACCATTTCTATTTCTTGTTCTACTAGTGGTTACAGCTAAGTCTCTAAATATTGCCCAGTTTTTATGTCACTATTTAAATAATATTTAAATAATCCCCTCTGATTCACCACTAAGAAAATGAATAATTTGGCTCACTTATACTCCTCCCTCCCAAGTCTGGTATTATTATCATCATCATCATTTATTCTACTGATTACATTTGAAACTTTACATACCATAGTTAACCCTGTATTTCTGCACCTGTCCCTTTTTTTTAGTATGTTTTTATTTATTTCAGAGAGAAGAAGGGAGAAGGAGAAAGGGATAGAAACATCAATGATGAGAGAGAATCACTGATAGGCTGTCTACTGTATGCCCCCAACTAGGGATTGAGCCCGCAACATGGGCATGTGTCCTGACTGGGAATTGAACCGTGACCTCCTGGTTCAATTGGCCAACGTTCAACCACTGAGCCACACTGCCTGGGCTTGATCTGTCCATTTTTTACTCCCTCTATGTAGGAAAAGGAATTGTGCCCCTCCCTTTCTTCCATCTTTCACCAACCCCACCTTTATTGTGTCAACTATTCCTTTATTATTCCTTGTTAAGGTAGATAACATTCATTCTGTTCCATAATTATAACAGCATCTTCTGCTTTTGTCCACATCCTTCTCCTGCACCAGCCAGAATACACGAGGGGATCATCCCTCCCTTGCCCCCCTCCCCCGCTCTCTGCTCCCTGCCTGAGCCCAATCTGGACACAGGTCATCATACACTGTGAAGTTATCAAGGATGGTGTCCACTCCCTGGGGCACCCATCATGCCTGTCTATGTCTATCACTGCAGGCTTCACTCTGTAGTATCATGTTTGTGAGTCTCATTCTTCCATAAGACTGAGGTTATGGACTCACTCTTTCTCATTGCATCCCCAAGGTCTACACACGCCTGGCACATATAGACACACAAGTGATGCTTGGTGGATGGATGGATGAATGATGAACAGATGAGTGGATGGGTGGATTTGGATGAGTGGGTGGGTGGATGGATTGATGGGTAGTTAGATGGATGAATACATGAACAAGCGAGTAGATGGATAGATTTGGATGGGTGGGTAGACGGATAACTTTAGATGGATGTGTGGTAGGTAAGTGGGTAGATGCACGGACAAGTGAATAGATGGATGAATGGATAGAGAGATGTGGATATGTTCCAGTCCTGAATGTGATGTAGATAAAACCTCAAAAGAATAGAGAAAAGAAACAAAGGGAGACACCCCCTGACCACCTCCCCTTTCCTCAGAAAATGGTCCCCTTCACTGCTACCATGCTCCCCGCCTCCCCCCTCCCCATAATTGCTCGTCTGCCCTGTGATGGAATTACCCCAGTAGGTCTACCTCTCCACTCCATGAGCCCACCTTTGAAGGCGTCATCCAGGTCCTCCTTCCCAAAGACCACGCCCAGGTCGTGGATGGCGCAGGTGTGGAACTGCACCCGGAAGATGACGTCCCGCGCCGGGCTCCGGAACTTCTTGTGGTAGCACTTCAGCTGGCGAGACAGAGAGCAGAGCCCATCAGGCGCCCCCGTGTGAAACCGGGCCCCAGGGAGCTTATTTATCAGCTCCAAGCCTGGGCCGCCCCCTCAGGCTCACCCAAACCCAGTGAGGGAGAGGCCACCCACACAAACAGGGTCTCAGAGCCTCTGGGAAAATGTCTAGAAGAGCAGAGAGTTGGAGGCCAGTCTCACCCCATGGGGACCAAACTGCCTCTCAAGAATCTCCTGATGTGGATCGGGGTGGAAAAGTGGGGGTGGGTGTAAACTGATGGAGGAAGGACTCGTCACCAGTAAGAAGCAGGAGGTGAGAGCTCCTACTGGGAGACACTTCCCTGGAGCTGTTCCAGAATTAGAGGTAAGCCCAGCGGAAGGGGCCTCCAGCTCCGAGGCCGGAGAATGCACAAGCATTGTCAGAGGCTGCAAGGCCTTGCAGGTCCCTGAGAGCCTACAGCACTGAGGCTGGTGGCCCACGAGGGGGAGGTCTTGTCTGGAGAGGCAGGAGCAGCACAGGAAGAAAAAAGGGAGAAAAATAAACGACGAGGAGGGGCTAGAGCCAGAGGGGCAGCGCTCACCAAGATGTCTCCCTTCAAGAGCAGCCCAGGCTCGATGGTGATGCAGATGCTGGTCTGGCTGTCTCCTTGGACGTTGCTGTGGGGGAGAGGCGAGCAGAGGGAGAGGGGACCGCTGGGGGAGCAGGCAGTGTTCTTCTCCCTGCTGCCTATCTGCCACCAGGCTACTGGGAAACCTTGCCGACTTCATCCCCTAGCCCTCTCTTGGAAGAGATTCAAGGCAGCCACCACCACCACGACACACACACACACTCACACACACACACACACACACACACACACACGCATGCGCGCCCCTGCTCCTGGTCCTCAGCCTCTGAGCTCTGGCATCTGGGACTCTCACTCCGGTGGAATACTTACTAGATGCCAGATGTGTAAACAGGCTGCATGGCCTGGTAGATCCGGAGAAATGGCCGACACCCTGCAAGGAAGGGTGGTGTTAGCTACAGCAGTAGGAAGGGTGGGAAGAGGGAGAGGAGTGAAGGAGGTGGGGAGAGAAAGGGGAAGGAGAAAAAGATGAAAGGGAAATGGTAAGAGATGGAGGGAGAAATACTAGCATTTCATCTGAAAAGCATTTTAAGTTGACAAAAACATTTCCCCGTCCACTATCTTCCAGCAGGTGCTGCAAGCATCAAACCCATTCTGCAAAGGAGTAGACTGGGGTAAAGAAAGCTCAGGAAGTGGTGCCGTTGAGACGCCACTCCAAGCCTGTGTTTTTACCATGGCTGCCTCTTCAGAGGAGGGGAAGGAAGACAGGAGGGGCTGGGCAGGCTGGGGTCCGTACCTCCTTTAGACTCGAAGTTGGGGATGCCGTGCATGATCACGTGGTGCAGAAACAAGGGCTTGTTGTTCATTTTGATGGTGCCGGAGAGCAGGCCGCTGAAGTAATGCACGTACCTGGAGCAGGGACAGGGGCAGCTTCAGCCAGGAGGTCTGAACCAGAGCCGAGCCATCCCATATTCTCTTTTCCACCATAGCACTGGCCTAGGTTGCCTGCCCAGCCCCCCACCAATGCCCCCAGGTCTCCGGGTAACTGGGGTCTCAGCCCAGCACAGTCCTCCCTTGTTGTCTGGAGCTCCAAGTAGGGAGAAAAAGCAGGTTCTATAAGACCTAAAGCTGGGTGAAGCCAAAACCCCTACTTGGGATTCTCCAGCGCCCCCTGGTGGTCAATGAGAGCATTTCTTTCCTGCTTCACTCAGCCCAGGAATCCCCTGCTAAACCAAAATTCCTCCCACACATCCCTGACAGGCATCTTTCAACTGCTCACTACTACACAAAACAGGCTGATCCACTGTCAAATAACTCTGACACCCTCATTCTGAGCCCAAACCAAGCTGACATTTATACCCACAGACCCTGGGTCTCTCCACATGGTCCACCAGACACATGACACTCCAGCAAATAGTAAGAACATAATCATCACAGTATTTCACTTTTTTAAAAATCATGCTAAGTGTATGAAAATCCATCTCGAGCATTTCATATGGTGTTGGAAGATATCTAACTTCCGCTAAGTACTTGTATCTCTAGGCTCAGCATCTCTCAATGTTTTTGACGAAGATCGTGTTAGAAGAATGGAAGGATTCACCTATTCCCACTCCTTCTAAGCAGAAAGAAAAAATTAGGTTCAGAAAGGCTCATTCACCTCCCAAAGACACATAGCAAGAACACACAAAGCTGAGAGTGAACGGGGAGAGAAGGAAAAAAGTCTGACTCCAGTGCATCTGCCAGAACAGAAGCCAATCCTTCCACCACTGGCCAGCACTTCCTCCTCCTCTGACTGGCCAGAGGACGCCACGCTGAACCAATCAGAATGCATCTGAGACCCCAGAGGAAGCTAGCATGGGCTTTTGTAGTGGGTGAGACCAGAACCGCATGATCAAGATAATAGTTCCCTCCTATATCTTGACACCCTGGCCCATCTCCAGGCCCGTGGGCCCCTGTCCCGGGGCCAGGGTGGAGCCACTTAGGACAGCCCTAGCGAGATAATCTGATGGGCAGCACCGGCTCCTATTCAGGCCCCTGCCCAGCCCCCAGCCCCATTACTCAAAGCGGAAACCTGGAATGGCGGGTTCCTATCAGAGCTTCTGATCGCGCCAACAGGATGTGTCTGTGCAACGGGGACAATGAGTCCGGGGGTGGGGTGACAATGAATGGGGGAGCTGCAGGCCAAGCCCCTCCCTCTCCCTGCCTGCCCTCTTCTCCTCAAGGGCCTCGTTCCTTACCCGTGACACTGACAAGAAGGCGGGAAAGTGGCGATGAATGCCTGGTAAACCCAACAGTTAGTTGCACTTTCACATTTGGGCACAAACGGAATTACCCACCCATTAGCAGATGTGGGTGCAGATACGAACTGCAAGGCAGACACAGATAATGTAAACACACACACACACACACACACACACACACACACACACACACCAAGCACTGTGGAATCCCTGCATCATCCTGTTCCTGAGAGGTAACCCTGACCCCCATTCTCCAGGTTTTCAGCTTCAGAGATGTGACTACTCGGCCTGCTCTCTCCAAGCCACGTGCCACTGTAACATCACGCTCCTCTGTTGGTACCCCTTGTCCTTCAAGGGCAAGGGCCAGAATGGTAACCAAGGCTGATAGCCATAAGTGGCCAGCAGGGACTGAGGAGAGGGTACTTGAGAGACAGCTCTTCCCTCCCTGAGACTTCTTCCCTGGGAACTCCCTCACGGACCCAGAGCTGCTGTGTCTGGCAGCCCGGCCAGAATTCTCTGCACATGAAGACATCCGGTTTCTGATCCAGCCGCCCTGAGGCTGCCTACCAGCTGTCTTGTGCCAACTGTAAGATACTGCGTTGCCTGAGGACTCACTCATTGCTGCTAGGGCTTCCCGCTCCAATGGCGGAAACTGTCCCCAGCAATGCCAGCACACTTCTGGAAAGGCGAGCAAGGGACGAGTGATGTGAGCTGGGGACACCCAACCCGGAGAGTCTAGGAAGCCCCCGGACATGCAGCGAGGGGGTCCTGCTTGCCAACAGTTCCTAAGGGCTAGGAAAGCAATGGGACCCCGTGACCTCCCGGCCTGAACCCTGGACCCCAGCCTCAGATGCTTCCTTCTCCCTTCTCAAGCCTCACCTCACAGGTCACCTTCTCAGAAAGGTCATCCCTTTGTGTTTTGTTTGTTTGTTTGTTTGTCTGTTGTTGCTTTTTTGCATTGTGTTATGTATTTATTAAAGATAATCATTTACAGTTCATAAAAAAATATTGACCTAATATACACAAAAATGTCCTGATAATGGTAATGAAAATCAGCTACTCCCACCCATTTGAATCAGCCCCTCACACCCACTCCCATCACTCTCTCGTCCATCATGTTCTGTTTTGGTTTACCCACCTCTCATTCTCTAAGATGACCGTGACGGCTAATGTGCATGGGTGTCATCCACCAAAAGGTAAGCCCAAGAGACCTTGCCTGATAGATTTCGCACCACAGTCTTAGTGTGTGGCCTAATGTGACACATCAGACCGATGTGATGGGCCCACAGCTCTGACCACACAGGGGGAAGGCCGGAGTCCAGCTTCCCAGTTCTCCCCTCGGCCTGGGTCTCCACCCTTCTGGCTCCCACTCCCATGTAGCCCCCCAAGGCCCACCTGATCCTGACACTGCCTGTGCTTCCTGTAAACCAGACATCACTGAACAGCGTGCCACCCACAGAGCCGAGTCCAGGGGGAGCCCTCAGGATGGTGGGTGGCACAGCCAGGGGGTAGGTCCCAAGTACATCTGGCTCTGCCACTGCTCTCTGTGGACCCTGGCATGCCACATCCCTTCCCTGGGGGCTCAGGCTTCTCTCCTGTAAAACAGGGGTGCCCTGGGTCATCATGTGGTGGGTCAGCATCATTCCGCTTTGGGCTCGAATCCCCCTCCTCTGAGAGGTGTTCCCGGACCATGGTCATTAAAACTGCCCCATTCCCCTCCTTCCAGTTGTTTCCTCTGCAGCGCTCTCTCCTCTTTCTTCCCTAGGACTAATCAGGATCTGAAATTGTCTTGTGTAATGTCCATCCTTCTCCATAGAGTGTCACCTCACTGGGGGCAAATGGATTTTGTCCTGTTCAACTGGGTACCTCTAGCGTTTGGAACCTAGCAGACCGCCTAAAATGTGCCCAATGAATGACTGGCTCAGCCCCTGCCTGCTTCCTGCCTGGGCTGTTGTGCCCTCCACTGAGACCACGTGGCTGAGTGCCCTCCATAATGCTTTTAAAGCACACCCAGTGAAAAGTGACTGTTAGCGAGCATGCATGTGACACCCACCCACACACACACACACACCCCGGGCAGGTGGCAGGGACCTCGGCTTCCTGGAGACGCCTCCGAACACTGAAGCGATCCTGCTTACAGGACCAAGAATGGCACCGCCTCCTCATACAGTCTGCCTTCTCACCCCCGGACCAACATGTCCCCCACCAATGCCCCCATTGCTCTCTAGTACCAGCCTCAGGAGCCAACTGCCCTGCCCACCTGTGGGCACACACACAGCTGCTCATGGGCTCACCCATGTACCTGATTGCAGACCCCTCCAGACTGGCCCCTGAGCATGCATATTTAGTACACGTCCACCGAGGCATGTTATTCCATTCCCCGTGGGCCCATGAGGCCCGTCCCCACATACAGCGAGCTCACACGGGTGCCCTGGGCCGTGACCCACCTTCTCTGGGATGGCTGGCCAATCGGTACAATCTTGTCCTCATAGAACCGCTTCATGGCAAACCGGTCCAGTGCCTGGTCCGCGCTGGGGGGAAAGACAGGTGGTCAGAGGAGCCCACATCCACGTGCACGAGCCCCTCGGCCCCCTCCCCCTCCCCGGACCCCCAGTGCTCCGGCCACCCCGGGCGGAGGTGCTCTTGGGAAAGAGTGCCTGGCATTTTGTGATCCTGTGTGCTATGCGGGGGCTTGGGAATCTAGCTGGGAGCCTAGCACTAGTCCACCCCTTCATCACGATTCTCAGGGCAGGTTATTTAGCCTTCCTGAAAATTACTTTCTTTATTTCATGTCAAACGAGAGTGACAGTTGCCTTCCTCAACGTTTGTTATGGTGATCAAGTGGGCTAACATCTCTAAAGAGCTTGGTGCTCGCAGGCACACAGTAGGTGCACAGGAAGTGTGCACCGGTAAGCAAAGATCAGGCTAAGGTGGATTTCTTGACGTTGTGAAATCGCCATCCATCAGAGCGCCCGGAGAGATCATTCCAAAATGTAGTGACCAGTCCCATAGCTTGCCCCTTCTTGATTCTCCCAACGACTTCCCATCACCCTTAGAATAAACCCAAAGTCCTTACCAAGTCCTACAAGGCTGGCCCCCTTCCAGCTCCACTTCCTCCTCCTCATGCCCACTCACTCAGCTCAACACGTGCCAGCCCCTCACGTGGCATTCCCCCCACAGGCCTGGTCCCTTCCTCCTCTCTCTGCCCGGGAAGTTCCCTCCCAGACTTTACGGGACTCGGCCGGTCCTGCCCTCCTCCGCCTGATTCAGGTCTCTGCTCAAATATCGCCTCCTCCAGAAGCCTCCTCTGATCCCTGCCATGCTCTGGTCTCCATCCTTCCATAGGTCTTATCGCCTGCTGCTACAGGCATCCTTGCTTAGCTACTTAAGAGTCCATGGGACAGAGGGCTGGCTCTGCCCACTGCTGTATCCCAGCACCTAGAACAGTGTGTGGCTGTTCGGTAACTACTGTCGAGAGAATAAGCCAGTGAGTGGATGGATCCCTCTGCCTCTCTGCAAAATGAAATCAAAACAGGGCACCGCTGGTTTACTAGTCTTGCTCCAAAACCCCTCAGTGGGAACGGGCCCTGCTGGCCGGGGACAGGGGGATGGATGAGATAACTCCCAGACGGTTCTGATGGACCCACACCTGATTCAGCATTTCCTTCAGACACCCTCCCTGCTCACCCAGGAAAACAGAAGGCGGTTTGGCAAGAAAAAGTGGCCCCAAGAAGCTGGCTGGATGGGGCATCCACAGAGGGGCCCGTCTCCCAAGGCTGGGCAATGGGGGATGGACTCTCCTCTCTCCTGCCCTCCACAAAGAGGCTCCTGAGGTGTGACAGGCACCTTCCTTCCTCATCCTAAGACCTTCCCACGCCCCCTGTCTTTATCCTCCCATCCCAAGGAAGGGAGGAATCGTGGGTGGGATATGCAGAGAACTGGCGGCCCAGGGGCCCTCTTACCTGGCCGAAATGTTGCTGTAGTGCATGTACGCGGCAATGACCACTCCTATCCTGCCTCGGTTTCCCTGAAAGAGCCCCCAAACACAAAAGCCTTTATTTCTAAGGCCAGCCTACTGCTCCAGTGCCCATCCCAAGCCTTGGAGGGAGCGGGGCAGGGGCTGGAGAGAAGGGTGTGGTTCTAAGGGAGACCAGGAGGACGGAGGGGCTATGAGGGGGAGGGAGATGAGAGAGGGACGAAGGTCGGCGCTGAGTCTCAAAAAGAGGAAACAGTTAGTTGATCACCCACTACATTTGAGGGCCCCACACTTCCTGTGGGGGCCCCAGGGACAGGATCCATCATCCCTAGAAAGGAGAATACACAGACTTCCACACAGGCCAGGAGATACCCTCATCCAGGCTACATTCACACACGGACACACACACACACACACACACATACAGCCTGCAGCCGGCTCTGACCTTGTTGTGTAGGACGACGACATTGTGAGGGTCTGCGTTGAGCCAAGTGTCCATGGCCTTGCAGACACTGCAGATCTTCTCCAGGGCTGGGGTGTGGAGGTCAGGCCAGCCAAATTCCAGTACCTGGGGCCCAAGACAGGAGTGAGAAGTGGCAGAAGCCCAGACAGCCAATCAGGGCAGTGGGGACAGCACACACTCCACATGCTAGTACTGGGCAGCGACCACCAGTGGCTGGGCCTTGGTTCCTGTCCTGCCTGTCAGCCCAGCTGGGAGGTCGGGGTGCCGAGGGGTAGGATGATGGTCAGGACCAGGGACCCTGTGCCTGAGTCTCAGCTCTGACACTGCCTTACCGTGGAGCCCCGGGCAGTCATGGCCCTTCTCCTGGCCTCAGTGTCTCACATGTGAGCAGAACAAAGGCAAGGTCCCTTCCACACGACTCTGACCTCAAACTGTGATGGAGCCCCAGCTCTGCGCCCAAGCTCTGCTCTCACAGACAACCCCATGGCCTGGCTCAGGGCAAGAGGGCAGAGCAAAGGGTTCCTGCTTGTTTGTGGCTCTTTTCCAGGCCCCGGCCACACACCGTTGATTTTTCGGGCCAGCCCGGAGAAGCCGAAGGAGACAGAGGGCGGATCGGAACCGCGGTCTCCAGCTCCTCAAAACTTTTCTAAACTCACAGAACTTTACAGTAAAAGAGAACTTCTGCTTAGAAGGGCCCAGAGACTATACCTAATCCAGCCCGTCCACTTTCAGAGGTGCAAACTGAGGCCCAGAAAAGTGTGTCACCTCCCAGGGGGTCACACGGCAACAGGCACCAGAATCCAGGAGCCGGCAGCAGGCACCATGCAGAGTCCAGCCCACAGCCCACAGGGTGAGCGAGTGAGAGCTGGCGGCGGCGGGAAGGTCCACGTTGGCCATTCCCAGCCAGTTTACGTCCAAGATACCTTCCAAAGAGACTAACAATCTCCCAGCCCCAGCCTCACCCAGAGATTCTGAGGGCTCCCCGGGGGAGGCAGAGCTGGGTGGAGATCCCTGCATCGAGCTTTGCTTTCTGTAGTCCGTATTATGGAAACAATGAATAGATTTCTTTCCCATGATCCGAGGAGACGATGGTGCTGTAACAGGCTTTGCAGACTGTCGCAGCACTTTCCCTAAGACTCTGCCGTGGGACCGAGGGGCAAGGGGGACTGTCTGCTGTCCCCCTCCCAGGCGGTAGACGCTCCCACCCTATCCGCATGCACTCACCTTGGCGTGGAGCTTCGTGATGTCGGGCCTCCGCTCAGAGAGGTTGAAGAGCTAGAAGGAAGACATGGCGGAGAGGCTCACAGGCTGCTCTGGCCCTGCTGGAGATCCCGCCCACACATGAGCTGGGTCCCAGACATACACACTGAGCAACGGGAGCCCAACTGAAGGTTCTCAGGATGGGAGGTGGGGAGGAGAGGGCCAGGGAGGGGTGGAGGGGGAAGAAGTACAGACTCTCAGCCACTCCCTTCTGTGAGCGCACGTCCAGAACGAGAGACCAGGAGGGGATGGAACCTGTCTCGAGTCCCGTACTCAGTATCGGCCTTCTCTAGTTTCCACTCCACAGGTGGACTTTAGAAGCTCACCCCTTGAAGATGCAATGGCTCTGTGGTCAGACCCCCTCCAGCAGAGGATGCCAACTGTCCTGGTGGGCCCTCTCAGGCCCCTGACATTCTCTCCCAGAGACGTTCTCCGGCATCCTCTCCCAGAGACGTTCTCCGGCATCTAACCACAGCCCGGGAGAATCCCCCAATCTCCCAATTCCTGTCTCCCCCATACCGCACTGCCTGCGAAACTCAAAGACCACTATGTTGTCTCCTGGGGAGAAGAGAGGACCCCACGGTCTGGAACAGGCAGGATGGAGGGAGCGTGGCATAGCACAGAGTCCCATGAAATCCTAGACTCCCGAAGTCAGGAAGGCCGTAGATGGCTTCCAGTCCACTCTTTTTTTTTTTTAATTGATTTTTTTTTTTTTTTTTTTTTTTTACAGAGAGGAAGGAAGAGGGACAGAGAGAAACATCGATCAGCTGCCTCCTGCACACTCCCTACTGGGTATGTGCCCACAACCAAGGTATATGGCCTTGACCGGAATCGAACCTGGGACCCTTGAGTCTGTAGACCGATGCTCTATCCACTGAGCCAAACTGGTTAGGGCTTCCAGTCCACTTTTGAGCCCCATAATGGAACATGCTTTATTATGGGAACAACAGCTACCACTCCCTGTATCCATACCCTGTCATATCCATGCTAAGAGCTTTACATCTACCAGTTGGCTTCATTTTTTCAACCCCCATCAGACATGGGTAGCATTATTAGACTTGTTTTACAGATGGGGAACTTAAGACTTAAGTGAGGGCTAAGTGTCCAAGATCAGATACTTTAAGAGCAGAGCTTTCATTCGAACTCAGGACTTCCTGGTGTTCTCCAAACAGCGTCTGGCACAGCTGATGGATGGGTGTCCGTAGTGGGTTGAATGGTGTCCCACAAAAATTCACATCCCCCTGAACTTCAGAATGTGACCTTATTTGGAAAGAGGGCCTGTGCTGATGTCAGTAGTTAAGGATCTGGAGATGAGATCATCCCGAATTCAGGGTGGACCCTAAATCCAATGGTGGTGTCCTTATAAGAAGAGGAAAGGACACCCAGAGAGTCACAGGCGAGAAGACGGTCCTGTGATGACAGAGGCAGAGATCAGAGTGATGAAGCTGTCACAAGCAGAGGGCCATCACAGGTGCCGGAGCAACCGGCAGCCAGGAAGAGGCGAGGCAGGTTGCTTCCTGCACAATTCAGAGGAACGTGGCCCCGCCAATACCTCCAGTTGGACTTCCAGCCCCCAGAGCTGTGAAAAGCTGAATTCCACTGTTTGAAGCCACCGAGTTTGGGGTAATTTGTCATAGCAGCCCCGGGGACCCAATACAGCCTCCTCCAGCCACCTCTGCTCACACAGCCAAGGGCAGCCCTGAAGGCTGCACAGGCGACTATTGGTCCAGTCACATGCACCTCCCAGGACAGTGGGCCTGAGCCCTCCTCTGGAGCCAGGATGGGCTCCCTCTCTGATATCAGAGGAGACCGCTGGCAGCCACTTCACCCACATTTGTTAGGTGGCTCTCCCGGGCCAGGTACGGTCCCCACGTCAGCAACACACGGTCCCTTACGATGCCTCTGCCACAACTCTGCCTTCAGACTTCTCAGAGGTGCCAGCAAGGTGCCAGCTCCGCCACTTCCTGATACTGGGAGCTTAAGCAGACACTCCACCTCTCTGAGGTCTAACAAAGCCTGCTTTCTCGGCTGTCCCGAAGGTTAAATATGCGGAAAGCAGTTGGAACAAGGTCTGGCTTGTAGTGAATGCTCAATACCATGAGCTCTTGTTGTTATTCTTTCCTCCTGGTCAGCACACACACATGTACACACATGCATGCACACACACACATACACATGCGCGCGCGCACAGCAGTGAGGCGGCAGGCAGAAAGGGCGGAGGGGCGCTGGGAAAGTGGCGAGAGGCCCAGCCTCACCAGGTAGTTGCCTCCATGTTTGGACTTGAGCATCTGGGCCACCTCCCGGAGGTTGCTCCGGAAGTGCTCCTCATTGGCGGTGCTGGGGAAGGAGACGGCGATGATCCTCTCGGTGACGTACACCAGGTCCAGCTCGCAGCTGTCCTCCATGGCCTGGCTCACACTCATGCTTCTGGGAAGACTAGCAGAGAGGGGTTCCAAGTCAGAGTCTAGTTCCCCAGGACAAGGACCAGATCGCTGCACCCCCTGTTCATTGCCCCCATATCCAACTTAGTGGGGGGGGGGGGGGGCCGAGGAGAGGGGCTCCCAGACCCAGAGCCAAGGTCAGAGGCTTCTTCTGGCAAGGCCAGTGCAGCCAGCAAGGCCACCTGGGACACCGGAGAGAAAGAGCTGGCAAAGATCTCAGGCTGTTTCAGAACCAAATGGTGATGACACCAAACCCAGGTACTCATCCGTTCTGTCAGCACTGCCTTCACCCGGATCTTAGAGGTCAGAGCCAGGGCCAGGCCATGAACCCAGGAGCCCAGCTTGGAGCCCCAGCTGCCCCTCATCCCCAGAGTGTCCCCAAGGCTCCCGGGACAGCTCTGGAAGGGGGAAGAGCGGAGCGAGTGTTCTCCAGTCCCCTGGCAGCGTATTCCGCTGCCCTCCTTGGCTTCGGAGCCATGGCGTGGGCAGGAGGCCTCTTGGGGGAAGGAAGGGGCAGCTCAGGTGACGCCTCACCTGGGCTCCAGGTGAGCCAGATCACAGCACACATTCCAGCCCTCCCCACAGCAGGCCAACTCCTGCCCTTTGTTCCCTGACTCCATCCCTACCCTGGCAGCTCTCCCCACTCCAGCTGGGTGGCAGTGGCCTCCCTGATTGCTAAGGGTCCAGGAAGCAGAGGGTGCAGAGCCCCTCTCCTCCTCACCCCCCCCCCCCGACATCCCAGCACCAGCTGAGCTCCGTGGAGAGTAGAGAGCCACCTGAGCTGGGGGCACTGGGTGAGGGAGGTAGGGGCTCCCATCTTGACACTTTACCCAGCTTCTCTTCCAGGGGGAGGGTCCAAGGACCCACTGGGGTGCTGATGGGAAGGGGAAATGGATCTTGAGACACTGGAATTCCATTCTTAAGCCCTGTAGCTTCTGGGGGCACCTCACATGCTCCCCACCCCAACACCTTCTTACCCATCAGCAGTCTCCTAGCACCTGGCTTCCCCTGTGTCTGAGGTGGACAACGCTCACGTTTCACTCTGATCACCTGTCACTACAGTGGGGTACAGTTGGGATTGGAGGGCAGTGGGCAGAATACCACCAGGGTATTTCAAAGTGATGGGGCAGCACTGGGAAGGACCCCCTAGAAGTGGGGCAGAATCCTGGTCTCCACCAGGTTAACTCTGAGCCCAGCTCTACAGAGGGGGTCTGGAGATGGGGGCGCTGAGGTTTCTCTGTGGTGGAATGACGGGGACCCAGTGGTGGAAGGGCCGGTGGCTTCAGTAAGGTCCTGTGTGATGTGAGCTCTGAGCCCCAGCCGCCCCTCATCCCCAGGATGGGCTTCTCTGAGGTGGGCTCCTACCTCAGCTCCCTGCCTGCGCCAGGCAGCACAGCGCCCCCGCCTGGCCACCTCCGTCCCACCTCCGCACGGCCCACCCAAGGAGCTTCTGGGGGAGGAGGGGATCTGAAGAGCAAGCAGATCGTGTGGGGGCAGTGGGCAGCTGGAACACAACCTGCTGGGGATTTCAGCCCCACACCAGGTCCCCTCTCCCTGGGTCCCCATCTTCCTGGGGCCAGATTCTCACTCATCTCTGGAGCCTTAGGGGTGAAGGTGAGACAGAGAGAACCAGAGAAGCTGGACGCCGGGAGAAGGGCTGTGTCAGCGAGGCACCGAGGCCCCCGAGTGACCCCTGACAAGCCACCTCTGACGCTGTGTCCTCGTCTGCCGAATGGGACTAAAACAATCACCTTGCAGGGCCGTTGCAAGGACTAGATGGATCATGCAGGTGCGTAAAGAATTCGGCTCAAGGCTGCCTTCCAGCTAGAACCCAGAGCCTGACCCTTTCCAGGCGGCCTCCACCCACACCTCCGGGAGGGAGCCCGGCTGCCCAGGCTGCCCACCACTGGCTTTGTGACTTCGGGCTCGGAGACCCAGAGGCGTGACTCGCCAGGAACTCCCACAGTGACCTCACTGCCAGGCCCCCCACCCGCTGCCCCCACAGGCCAGGCATACCTGACGGGCGGCGGGTGAGGCTGGACACTCGGGCTGACTCTGGCGGAGCCCTGGGAGGGAGAGAAGAGAAGCGGCACTGTGGAGGAGGCAGGCTGAGTGTCGTCCACGGGCGCAGGCGGGGTCACGGGCGAACGCAGATCCACTTCTCCTTTCCCCGCCAACATTCCAGCCCGGGCACCCTCACACCCCAGCAGCAAAGCGGCCCAAAGCCAAGGCAGCCTATGCCAATTCCACGTGAGTGTGCGTGCTTGCGAGCGTGCAAGGAAGGAATCCTTGTTGAGAAGCGTGCCCCGCCTGGGCTGGTGCCACCTGTACTGAGCACACGCTCGATAAAACGGTGACTGACTTTGGAAACGCATGTCATCTCAATCCGTAGGCCATCGCCATAGTAACCCCGAGGGGAGGATGCAGACTGCCAGCGCGAGAGAAGGAAAGGCGAGCGATGGCCCCCTCTCTCCAGCCCTAAACGTTCCTCCTCCGCCCATCGCCATGCCACTCGCCTCTTCTTTAAAGCAGCAGCACGAGTCGCTCCATCAGAGGTTTAGAGACAGAGCAGCCAGGCATAGCGGGCACCTACAGAGAGCGGCTCAGGCCGCAAACCGTGCCCCCGAGGACCCACCGCCCGTCGTATGCCACCCCCTCGCCCTCTCCCATTTCCAGGGCTGTCAACTTATTTTTTTTTTAATATATTTTATAGATTTTTTTACAGAGAGGAAGAGAGAGGGATAGAGAGTTAGAAACATCGATGAGAGAGAATCATCGATCAGCTGCCTCTTGTACACCTCCTACTGGGGATGTGCCTGCAACCCAGGTACATGCCCTTGACCGGAATCGAACCTGGGACCTTTCAGTCCACAGGCCAATGCTCTATCCACTGAGCCAAACCGGTTTCGGCAGGGCTGTCAACTTATGCAAAACCAGGCGAAGGGACCCAAGCTGGTGTCCAAAACATGCCAGGGCACCCGACGACACAGGAGGAAGCCCAGGCTGAGTCCCTCCGCCCCGCTGGGCAGCCATCCTGCCTAACGCTCTGAGCCTCTGGGGTGTCACATGTAAAGGGGGGGGGGGGGAATATAGATTGTTTGAAAATGAAAAGGAATTACACTTAACGGTGACACACACTGAGTGGCCAGATTATGATGGTCTCTGAGCACATAATAACCTGGCCACTCAGGGTACTTCTCTTGAGCGCCTCATTTATTTGATAGAAAAGATACTATAAATCATGCACCTGACCAGTTTTCCCCTTTGCACTGGCTGGTAGAAAGCTCAGGGCAAATAGGTAGCTGATCTCCAGCAAAAGTCTAGACTACTTTCGGTCCCCATTGGAGACATAAATACACTGAGTGGCCAGATTACTATGCGTTCAGAGATCCTAATAATCTGGCCACTCTGTGTAGATGTGGTTACTGTTATTACATCAGTACAATTAAAAGGGCAGGTAGGGATACAAGCAAACCCCACCTCCAAATCAAACCCCGTATCACTTCCACCATCAGCGGCCCATCCTCTCAGCCACCGCACACGATACAGAATCGGATTCCCAGCTCCCAGAATCCCGGCCAGCCAAGCCCTCTCAGCCCATTGGCACTATCCAAGCATCCCCGGGTCTCTCGGGAACCAGTCTTTCCCAACCACCAAGTGCCAACCACTTCTTGGAGGAGACGGGGCTGCAATTTGCCAATGAAAGGGGAAACTGAGGCAACGGTGACTCACCCCCACGTCCTGGCGGCTGGCTGCAGGCTGCAGGCTGGACCCCCTTCAGCCCTCTCCAGGCCCTGCAGAGCCTCGGAGGCGGTAGGGGGTGGGCTCGGAGGCCCAGCTCCCAGCGGAGCCCAAAGTCAGGGCAGCCCCGCTAAGAGGACTCCCTGTCCATTGGCAGGGTGCAAGCCGCACCCCGAGTCCCCTCTACCCGGGCTCCCACCCAGCCTGGAGCGGCTGGGCCTGGGCGGGCAGCAGGAGGAAACGCCAAGTGGGGCTGGCTGGCTGTCGGGGCAGAGAGTTTCTGTCTCCGCAGCTCTCCTGGCCCTGAGGACTTGGGCTGCATGAGTCAGGCGGTGGGGGGGGGCGAGTGGGGGGGGTGAGGAGGGTTGTGTTTGGTTTTCAAGCCCCAAACCAGGCCGTTCCAAAACTACCCACCCAGCGGAACGCAGAAACCCAACACTTCATCTCCCTCGGCGGCCGGGCCCTGACGAGCAGCCGCTGAGCCTCCCCAGGCCGCGGGCCCTGCTCCAGGCCAGGGCCACCCGCTATAAATAGCCCCTCGGGTTCCATCTGCTGCGGAGCCGCAGCCACGCTCGGAGGAGGCCACCGCAGCTGCTGCAACCACTGGACGCCACAGCCGTAGCCAAGGCTGGAGGTGAGGCCAGGACCACGGGTCCAGGCGCAGGGAGCACGGGGAGATGAGGGAGGCTGAGACGGGCCTGGCGGGGGGACCGGAGGGCTGAGGGGGCCTGGAGCTCCCACCGCAGACGGGTGAGAGGGATGAGCAGGCCAGGAGAGCTGGCTCCCGTTCCCCGCCCCCCCTTCCCAACGTTACAACACTCCACATTCCTTAGCCTCCCCACCCCGAAAAAGCCGGGGAGGATAAATAAAAACTTGGCCCCGGCCAAGTCTGGCCATACCGCCTCCAGAGGTGATAAGGCAAAGTCCAGCGGGGGGGGGAGGGGGGGGGCGCGGGGGGAGAGGGGGCGAGGCTGCCCAGCACAGTGACCCCAGCAGAGCAGAGGATGGGGACGAACAGCTGGATGGTCATCCGCCGATGAATCACTGGGCTGCCCTCTCACTGACGGGGCTTCCTGTTTTCTGCAAAGTTGGGGGGCATGTGACACTCGCCGGCAGAAAGCAGACGAGCACGGGTGACACGTCCGAGCGTCGGTGGACACGGAGCCACGGGAGGACCAGAAGGAGGGGGAGCAGGGAGGGGGGGCAGCTGTGAGCAAACACAGCCTAACGCTCGGGAAAACACAGGTGACCTCACACACAGGCTGGAAGCGGGCGTTCTCCGGCGTGCCTCGGCATGCAGGCCCTTTCCCAGAGGCCGGGGACGGGGATGTGGTCATCCCGCCGCCCAGCTCCGTGCCCGCTCCCGTTCTCAGGGAACTCTCCCTGCGTGCCGCAGGCCGTGTGCCTGGCGGGGTTCTAGGCCCCGGGGGCCCCGGGGGAGGAGTGCCCTGACCTCAGAGAGCTGCTGTTCTATGAAGAAAGGTGCTCATCGCCGGAGCCGGGGCGGCCGCAGCCGCGCGGTCTCACTGAGCAAACTGTGAAATGGGTGCAGCACAGTTCCACGTGGTTCGTCGCTGACCTGAACCAATGAGCCCTCAGGGAAGACTGTCAGAGGGCTCTGCAGTGGACTACGAAGATCTTATTTTGAAAGGAAAAGGAAGCTCTCTGACTGCCTGTAAAGCCATTCCTTCCTCACTGAGGCTCAGAGCTCTCTATCCACAGGGCTTTGTTTTCTGTTTTTGTTTTGTTTTGTTTGTGTTTGTTTTTTAAATATATATTTTTTGATTTTTTTTTTTTTTTTTTTTTTTTTTACAGAGAGAAAGGAAGAGAGATGAGAGTTGGAAACGTCGATGAGAGAGAAACATTGATCAGCTGCTTCCTGCACTCCCCACACTGGGGATGTGCCCGCAACCAAGGTACATGCCCTTGATCAGAATTGAACCAGGGACCCTCCGGTCCACAGGCCGACGCTGCATCCACTGAGCCAAACCAGTTTCGGCTCTATCCGCAGGGCTTTGAACTTCCTCCCAGCCCCTACCAGGACGGAGATCAGTAACAGGACTTTTGATCCAATTCCCTGTGCACCCAGAAGAACGCTCTCCTATTGTTGTCACCAAAATAGCCTGTCCTTAGTGGAAAGGACACCACTAACGGAAATTCCACAGTGACACCAAAACAGGGTCCTACTTCTCTGACTGCCGGCAAGTTCTTCCTGGTGTCTAACCCTCACCCTTCCCACCGCAGGTCCAGCCAACTCTTTTCGCCTTGGTCCTCGCTGCTGATCACCGCTCAGCCGTCCCTGAGCGCTCAAAGACCATGACCCTAGGCTGTGATCTGCCTTCTCTCTCTCCCCCCCACCCTCCCGCCATACAGCAAGGAGCGGCATGCTGGGGTCTGGGTGGGGTTGGTTGGAGCAACCACTGTGTGGGAAGAGTCCCGCCTGCCTTTGAGGTCCACAGACCAAACACAACACAGCCTGGAGCAAAAGGAAAGCTGCTTCCTGAGCCGAAGGCCCCAGGGGGCACGGTTGGGAGGAGGGTGTGTAAGCAGCATCAGGCAGCCAGAAATCGGTGACCAACCCGCGTCAGGAGCCCTTCCCCATTCCTATGTCTCCTCGGAGGCCAGCGGCCACCCCTCCCCCAGCACCAGCCCCTCCAGCCACACCCCTTCCTCTCTCCTTCCTGCCCACCAGCCGGGATTTTTCCAAAACAAAGTGCGACACAGCACACCATCCACGAACTCCGCCGCACACCAGCCGTCGTCGGAGGAAAACAGCCGTTCCTGCCCTGAGTCCTGGGCCACGGGCCAGAGACAGGAAAACAGCTCAACCAAACAGGCGTGTTGTCCCAGCCGCAGGCCCAGCACTCCCCCTGCCCCTTCACCTGCGGCAGACTGCGGGGAGCCCACCGCGGGGCAGGAGACGGACCCCATCACCCTGAGGTCATCCAACCCACAGCAGATGTCCGGGACCTCACACCGAGGACACTCTCCTTCTGTGGCGTCCGGAGCCCGCTTTGCCTTTCACGTACCCCTTAAACTAGACTAACAACCAAAACACCGCGGGTCTCTCCTCCCCGATCCTGACGGGACACCACCCTTCCCCGCCCCTCACACACACATTCATCCCAGACCAACAAAACTCTCTCCTCGATAAAACCTCGAGTCCCAGTTACACAGCCACCTCCCCCAGACGACAGTCAAACACACCCTCCTGTCAAAAAGTTCCTCACGATGTCTCACCTCACACTCTCCTGCTGCAGTTTGAGCTTCCAGGTCCGTGAGACCTGGGCTGGGATGGGGGGAGCAAAAGACCTGGGCTGGGATGGGGGGAGCAGCAGTTCCAGAGAACTTATAAGAGCTTGTAGACCACTGGCTAAATGTCTTGGTTCAAACACCATCACCCTGTCCCCCCACCAAGGTTGGGAGTCCTGGCAACGCCAAGTCTAAGCAGCGGCCCCGGGAAGAAATGGAGAAGGCATTGAGGAGGCATGGAGCCCCTCCAGGCCTCTGTTTGCTTATCTACAAAATGGGGTCACAGTGTCTGCCATAGGGGTTGTCACGAGGATCAGAAACTACCCAGCCCCGCTCCTGACCCTCCATCAAACAGCAGTCATAAGACAGCTACCATTCACGAGCACATAGCGTGTGCTCTGCGTGCATTAAGCTAGTCAATCCTCAGTAGCGGGCACACAAAAAATTAACTTCTCCCCCCTGCACTGCAGTCCCAGAAACATCATACACTCGGACACACGGGTGCCTGTGCCCGCAGGCCCCCTCCTACCTTGAGCAGAGCCTTCCCCTCTAGTTTGAGAGGCATGCTCCCGCTCTCCCTGCAGACGCCTCCACTCGCGGTGCAGGCTGCCCCGGGCAAGGAGGCCGTGGCGGTGGGCTCACCGCAGAAGTGCTGCCGCCTGCAGAAGCTGCCGCCTGCCGCCCAGCACCTCCCTCTGGGCCCTCCCCACCATGGGTCAGGCAGCTGTCAGATGATAGGGCCTCATGCCATCAACAGCTTCCCCTGTGCCAACCGCCAAAACCACTCCCTGTTCCTCTGCAGATCAAGGCGGGCAAGGATGGAGAGGCCAGCAGAGGGGCGAACTGTCAGAGAAGGGAAGGAAGAACAAGGGCCAACTCTGCCAGGCGTCAGCTCCTGGGGCGTGAGGACAAGGCCCGCCACAAGTACTGCCCAGAGTAGGGCCGTGGGAGAGCCCCCTCCGCCCCCTCTGGGTCCTTCCACCTCAGAACTGGGCTCACTGGCTCCCAAAGAAATGTGTGGCAGCAGGAGCGTGGTGGACCAGTCGGCCCACCTCCCAGGTTCTTCCTGAATCACTGGCACTTAAGCCACGCGAAGGGTTCTGCACTTTCCTCTTTCCAAAGAAGCGGAGCATCAATTCCCCAAGACCTGGTGACCCGCGGCTAAGGGCTCGAGAGTCCCCCTTCATCTCTGCCCTTGGTCCCTACAGTGTTGACCATCCTCCTTGGTGACTGCTCTCCCATCACCCAACAGGGCCTCACAGAGCCCGCCCTCCTCCCACCCCCACCCTGGCAAAGTGATGGGCAAAAGTGCTCTGAGCCCAGCTGAGCTGGAGGCCAAGGCCAAGGCTGAGGCCCAGTGTATCAGCAGATGGGGTCTGCTCACCCAGCCCCTCCTTCCTTGCTCAGCAACGAAGCTGGGCAATCCTGCCTGCCCTCTGGAGAGGAGGAAGGGACACCCCACCAAACAAGAGAGGTGTGAGCTACCACCCACCCATGCCCAGTCCCTGTGAGCGCCAGGGGCCCAGCCACATCCTTCTCTGCCCCTCCCCCATACTTACGTCTTCCTCAAGGCTTTTCTGAGTGTTCCCACCCCGGAAGGTTCCTTCGCCCTGGACAGAGACACACAGACAGTAAGAAAGGGGAGTCAAAAACAGTAATCAGAAGGCACTAGGTCTTTCACCTGCTGGGTTTGGCAGAGGATTGCAGAAGGGCCTGGGTGGGGTGGGGTGGGGTGGGGTGGGTGGAGTGGGGTGGGGGAGACTTGGCTGTTCAACATTTCTTTGTCCACTGAAGGCCTCTCAGAGCTAATCAAACCCTCTTCTCCATGTCTCACGACAAACTCTGGGAAATATTATTCTTCTCATTTTGCAGATAAGAAAACTGAGGCACAGACAGGCTCACGATCTGTCTATGTCACCCAATTAGGAGCTCGGAGGAGTCTTCCGCTCCAAGCCATTCACACCAGCCATCGCCAGGGACACCTCACAGCTGCTAACCCATCCCCACTTCGGGGCCCATGGACTTTTCCCTCTTCCTCCTCCTCGCAGCCTTGAGCTTGTCTGTTTCTCTGCTTCATCAGAAAGATCTGTTCAGAAAGATCTGCCTGGCTTTCTCAATCCCTACATATTTAATAGAGAAATCCATATTTAACCGCTGGCCTCTCTCTCTCCGCTCCCACCCCTGCCTCTCCTTATTTCAAAAAAACAATATAGTGCACAAACTATATATTATTTAGTGGGGACTAAGGCGGCCTCCTTAGTCAAACATTGGATCTTCTGCAATGGAACATGAATAGTCATACTAAGAGGTGTGAATAAAGAAAATAATTATTAGCTGTACATATTTCAAGTCACTTTGATGGCGAATTATTTAGATAATGTTAACTTTTGGTGCTGAGTTTTTGGAAAACTTTAATTTGCTGCCTAGTTCCCCAGCAACCCACTTCCAAATGCTGCACCAGCTCCCCGCATCACCCATGCCCCCCACGTTCTCCCTCCTGTGTCCTCCAGAAGGATGTCCCCAAACACATCCGTTCCCTTTCCCCAAATCCATCTTCTGCTTTCCGCCTCCCAGGCAGCTTCCCGCCACCCCGCCGGGGCCTGCTGTCACTCACCGTGTCCACTACATTCTTCGGTGAGCTCTCCGCGTGGACAGGCTGCGGACAGAGGGAAAAGGCGGTGTGAGGCCTCAGGACAGACACTGCCAGACCAGCTCCCTCTGCAAGGCCGGCGGCCACGCAGGCAGAATGCTCTCAGGACATGACGCCACCCCAAGATGGAACCTGGCTGTCCCCACGTGGGGAGGCACAATTTGGAAAATAAAAAGCTTCCCATCGGCACTGTAAACATCCACCTGGACAAACATCGCCTGGGCCTCTGACTCAGGCAGTCGCTGAGGGTTCAGAAAGGAACCAGGAGCCAGTGACCGTCACTGTGCCAGTGTGCCCGGCGTCTCCACCAAGACCGTCTCAGCCACCACCAGCACCTGTGGTGCAGGTACCGTTATTACCTTTTTTTTTTTTCAATCCTCACCTGAGGATATTTTTTCCATTGCTTCTCAGAGAGAGTGAAGGGGAGGAGAGAGGAGGAGAGAGAGAAAGAGAAACATGTGAGAGACACACACTGACTGGTTACCCCCTGCACACAGCCTAACTGGGAATGGCGGTTAAACCCGCAACCCAAATGCGTGTCCTGGACCCAGAACCAAACCTGGGACCCTCCCGTGCTGCAGGCCCACACTCCAACCACTGAGCACAGCCCCGGGGCCCATGGTGACTTCTGAGGCCCACTTTACAGACATGCAGACGTTAAAGGAGTGGCCCAAGTCATCAACTACTCATGGGGACAACCCCGCCTTGGGCTCTGTGCTTCTCCCTCTTTGTCTGAAATGGCAGCAGCCGGGGAGGAGAGGCCTCCCACCCACTCCGGCACACCACCATCCCTCATGGGCCCCACCCCTTCCCAGACCTGTTTTCATGCCCAAAAGCTCTGCTCTGCCCAGACCGGCCCCCTACATCCCTCTGCTTGTTCTCGCATCCAGGCCTTTCCTGGTGGAACAGCTGCCCCTCTTTTCCCACAAGCTCTCCTCCTCCATGAAGCCCTCCTTGAACACCTCAACAAGGTGTTCAGGGAGGGCTTCATGGAGGAGGCCTTCTCTCTCAACTCCAGGTCGCCTTTCTGTCAGTGCCATCTGTCTGGTCCTTGGCGCATGAATAATCACATCATAGGAATATGTCTTGTTTTATCTGTGATTCTATCCCACCTGCCTCCAAACCATGTTCAGAGCAACATTTTTACGAACTCATGTGCCATATCCCTCATCCCGGGGCCTGTGATTATGGGATCACTCGCCCCAGTGCCACCGTTCCCCTGCCCAGACCAACAGAAGTGTTTCCTGCTAAAGGCTTCTAGGACCCCCCAAAACAGGAGGAAAACTTCCCGTTCCAAGGCCACCTCCTGACCAGTTTCTACTCAGCAAAGTCATTAGCTGGGCCCCTGAGCCATGCAGAAGGACGGGAGCATGACTGCCAAGGTCACAGAGCGGGCCTCTGCCGAGATGAGTGTGGGCCCAGTGAAGACAGGCTGTCTCGAGATAGGAAACGCCTGCCCTCGCCCCCGCCCGGGACCTTGGGAGCAAGCTGTTTGTGAAGACAGAGGAATGGACAGAGTGACCACGGAGAGGGTCTGGCGCCAGGGAAACTGGCCGAGGCGGACACGGAGGGAAAAGGCCGGCTAAGCTGAAGGCAGCCGTGCTCTCTCTGGAAAAGGCCCAGACGTTACCCTCCTGCCTGGAGAGAAGACGGGTGGCTGAGGCCAAAACTTCCCTCCAGGGGTTGGAACCTCCTGGGAGTGTTTCAGGGCCAAGGCAGGTAGCTGAGGATGGATGAGCGAGGACAGGGTCCAGGAATGGAGCAGGAGTTGGGGAGACACATCAGGAAGCCCCTCTAGGCCTCAGGTCTGCTCCCCTGGAGTCTGAGGATGGCGCTGGAGGAATAAAGATGGCACATTCCATCCAGTCCCAGCCCAGCCCAGCCACCTCCCGGAGCCCCGCTGCCTGACCACCGGGCAGGGGGCAAATGAGCTCCCTGGAAAACGCTGGCCCTCCTACCCCCACTTGTCCCTTTGATCCAGGGCTCTGTGATGCTCCTGTGGAGACCAGGGGCTGGGCGGGACCACCTCCTCTCCGGGGGAAGGAGGAACACACCTGGGGGCAGGCACAGGGACCTCTGTCTGCAGAGTCTGCAGAGCCGAGCAGAGATCTGAACCCAGCTCTCCAGCTCCAAAGCCCTCACTCCCAGGCTCCTGAGCCAGCCTCTCCGGACAGGCTGCTCAGAAAGGACAGCAGTGGGGTGAGATGGAGGAGCCGCAGAGGAAGTGCCTGCCCCAGAAAGCTGCAGGGTCTCAGGAGTCCCCATCCTGAAGAGCAGAGTGTGGGCCAGGGCGCCTTGGACTTGAGCGTGACTCAGAAGCACCTGGAGGGCTGTGAGCACACAGGGGCTGGGCCCTCCCCAGAGGGCTGATCCAATAGAACTCAGGTGGGACCCGAGGCTACGCATTTCTTTTTCTTTTTTCTTTTTTTAATATATTTTATTGATTTTTTTTACAGAGAGGAAGGGAGAGGGATAGAGAGCTAGAAACATCGATGGGAGAGAATCATCGACCAGCTGCCTCTTGCACACCCCCTCCTGGGGATGTGCCTGCAGCCAAGGTACATGCTCTTGACCGGAATCGAACCTGGGACCTTTTAGTCCTCAGGCTGATGCTCTATCCACTGAGCCAAACCGGTTTCGGCGAGACTATGCATTTCTAACAGGTTGCCAGGTCTGGGGATGGCCCTCTGAGAAGCACCGGGCTGGACGGCTCACTGTGTGGCCTCAGGCGGGTCACTTCATCCTCGCCACTCCCCAGTGGGCCAGAGGGGCCCGATGTTGAAAGACTCACATGGGAGGAGGCACACAAAGCACTTAGAACAGGCCTGGCGCTTAGAAAGCGTCCAGCCAAAGCCGGCCGTTATTTATCCTCCCCACCCCACACCCCGCCCGAGGCCCACCCTGCCCCACCCTGACCCTCCTGCCCCAGCCCACCCTCCCAGGTCTGGCACAAAGCAGGCCAGGGAGTCAATATTGGAAGCCACAGGCCTCAGCAGTGCAAGAGAAACTTCTCTCCCTGCCAACAATCATCCGAGCACCGTAACCTTGGCCCCCACCCCTCTCCCCGAGCCAGCTGGAAGCCGGCCACAGGGAGACGCTTGCCAGCCATCAGATGCCTTCAACTTACTGGTTGAGATGCTTTCTGAAGAGCTAAAAATTTCCAAAAACCCCTCCTGACCTAAACACCCAGCCTCTTCCTGCCGTGTCTGCAAACACGGCCCAGAATGCCTGCCGGGCTCCCACCCTCCCCGCCCCGTCCTCCGGGACTGAAGTCCTGCTTCTGTTTCCCAGGAACTGCCAGCGCTGGGCCGCCGGGGAGTGAAAGCGGCAAGGGACCGGTCACAGGAGGGTGGGGTCTCCCCGAAGCCAGGCCTGCCCCAGGCCCTCGCATGCTATAGGGGAGCTCCCGGACCACCCCCGCTGTGGACTCCTGAGGTGGCCGCCCCAGAGCTCCAATGGCCGGCAGAGCCCCTTCAGCAACACAGACACCCCACCCACTCCCACACGTGCGCGCACACGTGCACACCACACCTCCATCCTCCACACCACTCCTCAGAGCAGCTCCGAGAGGGACTTCAGACCCTGTCCCCTCCCTCCTGAGGGCAGAGAGGTCTGACTGGCCCAGGTTCTCAGGGTAAAATTAAGGCAGGATTGGACTTGGCCGAGCTCCCCTCACAGCCCCTCCACCTTGTCCCGTCCCCCCCCTCCCCCCGTGGGCCCCTCTCTTCCTTCCTCCTGAGGCTCTGCTGCAGAAGGACCGAGCAGATGGAGCCCAGATGGGGACTGTCCCCATCTGTCCCTACCCACGGCCCAGTCCCAGGGAAAAACCTACATCTCAAGGACCCAGACTTCCTGAGCAGCTGGCCACAGCCCCACAAGGGTCTTCAGAACGCCCCTGGCCTCCGAACTAACAACCTGAACTCGGCTCGGGAACCGGTGGCCGGGTGTGGACCTGGTGCCACTGGACATCCAAGTCTTGCTCCTCAGGGATCACTCTGCTCTGGGATCCCGGTCCCGGGAGTCTGGAGTGAGGCAGGCAGGGACTCGGGGGAGCGCCGAGGGCAGAGTGTGTAAGGAGGCGTCCGTTCTCAGCTGCTCCGAGGGCACCACACAGCCCTGAGAGCCAGGCCTCCGTGAATTCTGCACCCCGGGGGCCTCACCGGCCTCCCTCATCCTGGCCCTGGGCTGGACATGCCTTTCCTAATGTTAACACCGTAACGACAATGACTCCTTAGTGTGAGTGCAGCCTCGGGCATACATAGTATTAGGTTCTCGGCTTCCGTGGTCATCATCCATCCTCATAGCCATCCGCGTAACCACTGTGCACAAGGTAAGCATGAACCCATTTTACAGCTGAGGAGACTGACGGTGTGCCCGATTAAATAACTTGCCCAAGGGTACACAGCTCATAGGTCGCTCAGAGGGCGGGTGTTAGAACCCTGCTCCTTACTTCCAGCCCTTCATGCTCTGTCTCTCCTGGGAGATGCTCTCCATTCAGTTCCTCTTACCCTCAAATCAGCTGCCCTCCTGCTGGGAACAAGCTCTCTGCGACTTGGAGACTAATGGCCTCCGGTCCTCCAGAGGAAGGGGTCTGCAGCACACTTCCACAGGAAGAGGAGGAAGTGGGCTGCAGCAGGGGAGACGGAGGTCAGACAACAGAGAGAACTTCCTAAAAGTGAGGGGCTGCAAACCACAGGGTGGGTAAGGGGAGCTGCACGTCTTTTCCCCAATTCCCCCCCAAAAAAGACATGCATGTCTCTGATGGCTGGGGGGAGGAAAAGGACACATATGAAATACCTTAATCAATAAAGAAAAAAGCCCCCCTCCCCCCCAAAAAAGACATGCATGTCTCTGATGGCGGGGGGGGGGGGATGAGACAACGGGGAGGAAAAGGACACATATGAAATACCTTAATCAATAAAGAAAAAAGCCCCCCTCCCCCCCAAAAAAAGACATGCACGCCCTCTCCATGCCTGCATTGACCCGCTGCCCGCTGTACGGGCCCC